CTGAGCATAAATTAAAAACAAAAAATACTTAGCTGCAAGAAAATCCCCACCAATACTTTCTATGGCCAATATTTATGACACGAAAACCAAAACACATCCTTTTAAAACATAAAAATACAGAACAGTACTAAAAAAAATTTAAAAAAAATGTCCACCTCACAACTTTCCGACCTGATTTCCCGGCCATCACTTCACCGGCGACCCATTTTCCGGCAATGCCACCCCACTTCAGTCTTCCTCACTCCCCCCAAAAAAAACAAAACAAAAACTCTAAAATCTCAAAAAAAATTCAAAATTTATCAAAGTTTAGTTGATAAACAGAGTCCATTAAAAAACCCAACAGTTGATATGAATAAATTAGTTGAATTTTTATATGAAGATTTGCCTCATTTATTTGATGATCAAGGAATTAATCGTATGGCTTATGATGATTATGTGAAATTTAGAGACCCAATTACTAAACATGATTCAATTGATGGCTATTTGTTTAATATTGCCATGTTGAATCAATTGTTTAGGCCTAATTTTCAACTTCATTGGGCTAAACAGGTTAGCATTTACTCGTTTGGTTTCAATTTATTTCACTTACTTTTTTATTTTTAGTTCGTTTTGACAACTGACATGTTTAAGGCTACAAGATTTACTTTCTTAAACTTCATGTCAAGTCAAAACCAGACGAATAAATTAGAATGTAGGAAGTATATGTGTATTGGTTATGAGTTTAACTTCATAAAATTGTATGTTTGCAGTTCAAATTGGCCTGTTTTTAATTTTTGCCCTTTAGAAATCGAACTTATATCTATTAAAGTCATGTACGAATATAACTTATGGATATTATCATACAGAAAATAAACTTATATCTGACGAAAAAGTTGTTTGTTATGAGGGCATAAATTAAAAAAGTGTAAATGGTTGGTTGCTCTATCAGTTCATTAGTATCTTGGAAAATTGGTTACGAGTTTAACTTGTATACGCTGACAATGCATAAGATTCTTTCTATGAGCTCAAATAATTATAAGTAATCGTCCACAAAAAGTAGTTAGGAAAATTTGTTATGAGTTTAAATTTTGTACAATGATAGTGTGCAAAATTTACTCTAATAGCTTAGATAACTACAAGTAACCGTTCATAAAAAGTAGTATTAGTATCTTGGATTATGGATTATGAGTTGAACTTCTATATACGGATAGTGTATGAAATTTGTTTAGTCAGCTCAACTAACTATAGGAAACCGAACATTAAAAGTGGTACTAGTATGTTGGAGAATTTGTTAGTGGATGTTGAACCCCTTTTGACTTCATCGTGTGTTTACTTCTTCACATTTTGAACCTTTTGGTGAAAATTCGGGCTCCGACACTGCTAAGGAGTGTAATGCATTGATTATGAACGTGAACTTTTTTGAGTGATTGAGTTTGTTGTAGACAGGGCCTTATGAAATAACTACAAGATGGACTATGGTGATGAAGTTCGTTCTTCTTCCATGGAAACCTGAATTAGTCTTCACAGGCACATCCGTTATGGGCGTCAATCCAAAAACAAACAAGTTTAACAGCCACGTGGTTTGATTCCTCGCTCTTCCTTGTTGCAAATTCTAAATAATTGAATCGCCTTGTGGATTAGTACTAACCTACTCTTGTTGAAATATGTAGGACTATTGGGATTCGATTCGGAATAATGATTATTTTTCTCTAGAAGGTTTGGTCGAAGTCATAAAACAGGTGTGCTATCAAATTGGTTTAGTTTATGCTTTCAAGCTATATATATTGCTCGGACTCTCCAAAAATGTTTGTGCGCCCGTATTAGATCCTCCAAGAAGTGCACTACTTTGGAGGATCTGACATGCACTCTTCGCCATTTTTGAGGAGTCAGAGAAACATAGCTGTCCGGACGTTGTTTAAATTTGAGTTGCAATTATCGAGCAGTTAAGAATTTACAAGACCCCTGACTTGGAAACACCCAGCTATCAAATACTAAGAAGAACAGCAGCTTATGAGGTTCGTAGTATTTATCTCATAGCATCGTACTTCAAGCTAAGAACTACTTCTTTACTTATATCGTTGAATGGTTTCTGCTACTTTTAGCCTATGTTGCTCGGATCCTCCAAAAAACTAGCTGAACGATTGCATTAGAGTTTTAAGATTATGTATATTTGAAGTTCTATATTCTTAAGTTTTGAGTTCACTGTAGTTGATGCTTGCACCGTGCAGTGCATAGCATCTAAGTTGCTCGGACTCTCCAAAATTGTTGCTGCACCTGTGTTGGATCCTCCAAAATGCACTAATTTTGGAGGATCCTACTCACACCCGTCCACATTTTTGAAGAGTCCGAGCAACATAGCACAGCATTGTTGTTCAGTTTAGGGGTGAATGATGAATCCCAACTAATGTTCTAAATTGCTCGTAATTTTCATTTGTGTAATACAGGTAAGGAAGTATGATCCTTTCATAGTTGTAGAAACAGAAGGCGACAATCTCGCAGGAAATAGAGGTTTCAATGATGTTGCCGGGTGGGATAAAACGACTCCTTTTTCTTCTTTTCTTTTGGTATCTTTTAATGCGTTTTGTGTTTCAGATTTTGAAGATCGTTGACTCCTCTAAATATAGGTACATATTTGGAAAGAATGCTACAACGGAGAAGATACCGATGACTACTCCTGTCTTCACTCAGGCATTTGATGCTGAAAACTCTAAAGTGTCGATCCAAATAGTTCTTCCATCGGATAAATCTTTGAGCAGGTAACATGTTTTCTTAGTTAAAATAAGCGAAAACATAAACATCTCATGCTGGAGTGTAAGTAGTGAGGAATCTTTGTCCTAATGTAGAATATGCAGGCGTAAGCACAGAGGCGGATCTTCGCTTTTACCTCTTATCAGTTCAACTTTAAGATTCTTAGCATTGATCTCACTGTTCTTTTGAGAATACGAGTTGATATTTCAATTTTTGTGGAAACTTACTGGTTTTTCATATATATATGTCATAAGCCTTGTCCGCGTCTGCTATAAAAATTTGAACTTTACTTCTTTTCTTTGTCAAATAGAACAAATGTGAAATTAAAGTTTTATTTTGAATAGCTTACCAGCTCCAAGTAAAGAAGGTATTAGCTTAAGGAAAACTGAAGGAGGCATCGCTGCTGCAATAAAGTTTAGTGGCAAACCAACAGATGATGTTGTTCGAGAAAAGGAGAAACAACTCCGATCTAGTCTTATAAGAGACGGTCTCAAACCTCGATCTGATTGTATGCTCGCTCGCTACAATGATCCTGGTCGCACGTGGAAATTTATAATGGTATGTCCTATGTCCTGGATGATTGTTTGTTTCATTGCATCCTTGATTAAGGTCCTCTTTTGCTTTAGATTACAGATCCTTTTTAGTTCTCTGTATTTCCCGTCCCGATTATCAGTGCCTTAGATACGAACTATGACCCTCACGAACTCCTTAGAATGTTATTAGAGAATTTGGACATGATGTTTCCATCTAAATTTAAGATGCATAAACATGAACATGCCCTGTAATCATCCAGACGATTAGAGCTACGTGTCTCAGATAGGAGAGATTATTAAGTTTGACTCCCGATGGTCTCTTTCGATGGTTCTCAAATTGGCTGAAATATGATCGTAGCTAGTAATAGGCCAAGTTATCTAGAGGTACCTAATAGATCATCAAAAAATTTAAATCATAACCATTCTGATGTTTCCAACTAGTTTGAGATTGAGACGGTGATTGATCGACTTATAAGATTCATATGACATTATATTATGTTTGGGACATTATCTATTGCTAGTATTCTCATTTGATGAAAGGTTTGAAATTTAATCAGAGCTGGCTGATCTATAGCCTAACTTACAGGTTCACAGGGACCAAGAAATTCACTAAATATCTATAAATATTTGACTGTTACCTAGTTATGTATATCAACTTGAGGTCGATGTAGGAACCCATAAACTTCGAATATTGAATTCATTTTGTCACTTCTTAAAGTCATTTTTTGTCTGAATGTTTCTTTTTTCTTTTTTTTTGTTTGGACTTGTAGAGGAATGAAGTTCTTATATGGCTTGAAGACTTCAAGCTGGATTGAATCTTGGCTATTTTTTTGGTGTTCATATATTGGTTCCCATTCTCAAAATCGTTGAGAGTTTGATGAGTGAAAGACAGGGCATTCACAAGTTTGGTAATGTGTCGTTGTACCGAGAGTCTATTGAAAACAACATCTCTACCCCACAATGGTAGAGGTATGATATGTGTATGTCTTATCTTCCCCAGACTACAGTTGTGAGATTATACGGGGTATGCTGTTGAAAATGTGGTTTGTACATAGCAATGATAATGCTTGTGTTGAACTCAATTAACACTAAAAAGATTTATATTGTTCATTGCACCAAATTATGTTACTTTTTATTTTATTTAGTGGTGTATGGGCCGATTTGCGTGTATATTGGCTATTCCACCAGATATATGTTACCTCCCACCCGTACATGTGTGTGTTTCAATTGCTAATTTGATCAAAAGGATAACTCTAACATGTTATAATTGGATAAACTACTAAGTTCATGTGAATTTTTTTGAATTTTCAAATTATTAGTGTAGATAATTTAAATGTGTCATGTTATAGTGACATATTTTCCTTTTCTTTTAAAGTGAATATTGAACCACTTAGGTAATTACCTTGAATGACTTTTTTAATTCAAAGTTTTGTGGGTTTAGTGAAATCCTTTATTTTCTAACTCCTTTTTTTGATATATGTACAAAAAATTAATTAATTGTATTTATTTTAAACCTACTGACTCTAGATTATAGATTCGCGTTGTCAAAATACAAAAAGGCCTTACATAAGGTAGTATTATCCATTTAAATTAATGGCATTCCATATTTTTCTAAATATTTATTTTTTATTTTTTAATCTAACCGTTAAACTCTCACAACCCCATATTTGTAACAAAAATTATTCAATGGATTAACACAATTTTACAACTTATTGTTTGCCTTGGTGTTATGGTGCAAACTCTTTCTCTTTTGCTTCTCTAGAGGGGATTGAAGCGATTTAGGGTGTGATATACTCTTTGTCGAGGTTAGTTTTTTCTCTTGGAATTTTTATTTTATTTTGGTGTTTCTGAATTTTAATGTAATGTTTATATATCCATGAAATTTTTTATTGTTGATCATACATAATGGTGATTGGATTTTCCTTAATTGGCATTAATACAAATTATTTCGAACATTTCTTGAATAGTGTATTTTCTTCTCAAACGTGATTTGATATGTTTTTACTTGAGCCGAGGGTCTATCGTAAATATCCTCTCTACCCAACAAAAGGTCGGATTAAGGTCTGCGTATACACTAGATCGACTGGTTACCCCTTGTAATTGATCCCTAAGCTCGGGGAATCGGAAACTATTGTATCTTTTCTAAAACGGCACTCTCCCTTTCCAAACCCCACTTATGGAATTATACTGGATATGTTATTGTTTGGCATCGATACAAGTTATGCACCTCCTTTTTTTTTCATTCTAATGCTCTAAATCAAGAAATAACAAGATTATGATGGATTTGATCTCCTTTAATCAGAATTTGGAATAAGATTTATATTGTATTTCAAACTATTTGTGTAAAATCAAAGTAAATTTCAATGAAACACATCTCAACTATCACTTTTTCCCATACAGAATGATAAAATGTCGATGGACACATGTCTTATCCTTCAAAAGTGATGTACTTTTAAGGATCTGACACGAGTACCGCACTAATTTTGGAGAGACCAACCAACATAGTTTACCATCTATGTAATAAGCTAACTAATATAAAATTGACATCACTTATCAATTATCATTATAGTGATCTGCTTACGAAAAATCCTGTGTACGCCACTGACTTAAACTTGTGTCAAATGTTTTTAAACAGGGAGGAAAATGACAGAAGCAAAAGAAGCAACTACACCCTTGATGCCACCTTCATCAAACAAGTTGCCAGATTACAACAAATCAGTTAAGTTGAAATATGTAAAACTTGGTTACCATTACCTCATTACTCATGGAATGTACCTCTTATTAACTCCTCTAGTAGCTGTGGTTGCTGCTCACATGTCAACATTAACTCCTCAAGATCTTTCTGAATTATGGGACAATCTTCAATACAATCTCATCTCTGTAATTTCATGTTCAACACTCATAGTAATCGTAGTAACGGTCTACATTGTAACGCGTCCTCACCCTGTATACCTTGTGGACTTTAACTGCTACAAGCCTAGTGAAGCATTTAAGTGCACAATGCAGACTTTCATGGATCAATCTAAGCTAACTGGTGCATTTTCTGAGGAGAATCTTGATTTCCAACGGAGGATTTTACAACGATCAGGGCTAGGGGACAACACGTATTTCCCTGAGGCTTTGCTCAACATACCACCAAATCCGTCTTTGAAACAAGCTAGGAAAGAGGCAGAGACTGTTATGTTTGGTGCTATTGATGGTCTATTGGCTAAAACGAACATGAAAACGAAGGACATTGGGATATTGATTGTGAACTGCAGCCTGTTTAATCCAACGCCGTCTTTGTCTGCAATGATTATAAATCATTATAAGCTTAGAGGGAACATAGCTAGCTATAATTTAGGTGGAATGGGGTGCAGTGCAGGGGTAATTGCTATTGATCTTGCTAAAAAGTTACTTCAAGTGCATCCAGGTACATATGCTTTGGTTGTTAGTACAGAGAATATCACACTCAATTGGTATCTTGGAAATGACAGATCAAAATTAGTGTCAAATTGCTTGTTCAGAATGGGAGGTGCAGCTATACTTCTTTCAAATAAATTAACAGAGAGAAGGAGATCAAAATACCAACTTTTACACGCTGTTCGTACAAACAAAGGTGCAGACGACAAGTGTTTTGCTTCCGTTACACAAGAGGAGGATGCTAATGGGAAACTAGGTGTTTCTTTGTCGAAAGAACTCATGGCAGTGGCTGGAGATGCCTTAAAAACCAACATTACTACTCTTGGACCTCTTGTGTTACCGATATCAGAACAGTTACTTTTTTTTGCTACACTTGTTGGGAAGAAACTATTTAAGATGAAGTTGAAGCCTTATATTCCTGATTTCAAACTAGCATTCGAGCATTTCTGCATTCATGCTGGTGGAAGAGCTGTTTTAGATGAAATAGAGAAGAATTTGCATCTTACTGAAAGGCATCTCGAGCCATCAAGAATGACATTGTATCGTTTTGGAAACACTTCGAGTAGCTCTTTATGGTACGAGATGGCTTATACAGAAGCTAAGGGAAGAGTGAAGAGAGGTGACAGAGTGTGGCAAATAGGATTTGGTTCAGGATTCAAGTGTAATAGTGCTGTATGGAAGGCTTTGAGGACTATAAAGCCAGTAAAGGAAGTGAATCCATGGATGGATGAGATAGATAAGTTTCCCGTGGACGTTCCAAGGGTAGCAAATTTTTAAATACCTAATGTTGATCAGAAAGCAGAGACAGAGACGGATCCAGGATTTGAAGGTAGTTGGTACAATTATACAGACATAGTAAAGGACAATTTGTTAGTTGTCTATAAGAGAGTTTTGTTGTCTTTTGGATGTTACCAATTGTTTTAGAATTCAATCAACTATTTTTGAAACCTTATTAGGTTGTGAGTTTTGATTAAAGCTTGTAATCTTTGATAGATTTATTATTTTAAGGATAATGTTGATTGTCATTTTTCTAATATTGTTACAAATTCTTTGACAAATGTATCCAGTATGAACTATGAAAGTTGAAGCAAAATTTCCTACTTTTTGTTGTTGTTACTGATGTTCAAGCTCGTTTGCACGCATCTTAACTACCCAACGAATTGTGATACTAAGACAATTTTTGCATATAATCTTGTGTATGTCACTGTCTCGAAGCCTTCCAACATTCACAATTCACATCCATAGAGACAATAAAAGAAATCAGGCAATCACATTAAATTTAGTATGTCAGCTAAGGACCACGAAATATGCCAGCATAACAATTCTATGTCTATGCATTTGCAGACACCAAAACCAACTGGTTAAAGTTTTCGAAAAAACAGTATGCCAACATAACAATTTCTATGTCTAGTTGTAGCAAGCACACAGACTTCCATTACTCCTTAGAAGATTTGTTGATGAGCGACTTGTGAATGTGCGGTATAACACCTCCTCCAGCTATTGTTCCTTTGATCAGAGTATCAAGTTCTTCATCGCCTCGAATTGCTAGCTGCAAATGTCTTGGGGTGATACGTTTCACCTTCAAATCCTTGCTTGCATTTCCAGCCAGCTCCAATACCTCCGCGGTTAGATACTCCAAGATTGCAGCAGAGTAGACAGCTGCAGTAGCACCCACTCTCCCGTTGGCGTTGGTTCTCTCCTTCAGCAGTCGATGGATACGCCCAACTGGAAACTGAGAAGGCACAAGACAAGCAAGTTAGAAACCACAAGGAAAGCCAGTGTCACATAATCCTCTTATTAATCAAATTAGATGAATGAACAAAAATACAAAGACATTAGTACACAGGGTAGTATAACACCAGTACTGCTCTCGAATGTCATTGCCAGGATGCATATAGGAGTATAGGACACTATATGGATGCCTTGGCTTTGAAACGACAAAGTATCAATGTTACTAAAATGGATGAGTCAAGAAAAGGGCCCTTAACTTCATGGCCATTGCCTAATTGTTGAGAAGTTTGCAGGCATGCAGCACGGGTCAATTCAAGAGTCAAGAAGAGCAACTACATTCCTGGAATAAAACTATCACCAAACAGACCTTACTGTTCACACAAGTAGTGCATTGCATAGAGAAAACAGAATGATCAAATTATACAGTATCATTCTCCATTACCGCTCGCAAGACTTTCTTGCATCTTCAAATTTATCACTGGATAGAAACCAGCTCCCAGCACTCCCGCCCCTCTTCTCCCCCCGCCCAAAAAAAAGGGATAAAAACAATTGCTAACCACTTAGAAAACAAGTTTCTAATTGGTTTGACTTACAATTTCAAAATCGCTGCCAAAGCTATTACATCTTCACGACCACAGCAAAAAGATCAGTCTCAAGTCCTATAAAAAAGGCAGACCAAATCCTTAAGTTCATTCATGACAAGTTCAATTGATCCTAACCATCAAACCGAAATAAGTCCGCCATTGCCAAAAAAATTCAAATTTTGTCTGGATAGAAGAGGAGACATCCCTGAGCCAAAGCTGCACGAACCACAATGTCAATGCTCATTAGGTCCCCAAGAAGATAAAGATGTATGTAGCCAATTATGGTTGACCTTCATCTCCCATGGCTCTTTTTCTGCTTCTACATTTATGACTATTTTGAATCTATTTCTTGAATATCCCCTAAAACTCGTGAATATCCAGGATTATATACTACCATGTTTCATGTTTTTAACAGCTCTTAAACACAGTCCTTATAAACGATAAGAACAAACCCGTAAAGCGCATGATGCCCAAATTTTGGCACCTTATACTAAACCATAGGAAATAGAAAGCAGCTTATTGGGGTCCCGCTTTGATTATCAACCATTTCCACAGAAAAAGAAACCACAAACTTAAGTCCATCACACATGCTAGATAATCTCAAGATTAGTTCATTGAGAGCTTCTTCAGCCTTTGCTTAAGGTAAAAAAGATAGTTTAACCTCTCTGCGCTTCTAACACCAAAGCTCAACCCAACCTAAGTGAGTGTAATGTACACAAGAACACAGGCTCTAGTTCAGCTAAATTAAATTGAAATAAAGAATTATTTGCTAGTGTGGGGTAAAGACTAGTCTCATGGGAGAAATTTAATATTAAACAAATAAAAAAGGACAAAGGTTCCAGTTCAGCTGAATATCATATTGAATAGAATAAAGTTTATATATATACGTAATCTACATCAAAAGAATATGTAGCCATTATCAAATAGTGGACAGACCTTTTCTAATACTATGTATTACCCATACACTTTGTTTAGACGTATTTAATAACCTTGCAAAGTAATAACAGAAATCCTTACATTCCCCAAAAAAAGAGGGGAAAATCAGAGGCGGATCAATAATTTGAACATTATGAGTTCGAGTTTGGAATTCTACCACAACCTATTTGATTTAATAGGTTCAAACTCTATTATTTGAACTCTGTCCCAAAATAGCTGTCACGTTTCTCTTTTCGATAGTCAATTTTATTAATCTTTGGAGCTACATTAGATTAGATCAATTCAATATTTTAAAATTCAAATATTCAAGAATTACCCGAAAAAACACTCTAAATAGCAAGGCTTATCATATCAATATGATAATAAAATATACTTTCAAGTGTTGGTCAAAATTCACGTAGTTTGACTCTCGAAAAGTGAAATGTGACAAGTATTTTGGGACAGAGGGAGTACTTATTTAGTGGATTTTTTACCACATACACAGTGTTCGAGCCAAATCTATTAGGTTGGGATAAGCCCCTAAGTCCTTAACTACATCTGAGAAAAAAAACTAAATACAACAATAAAGAACAACTACGAAACACAAAAAAGATAGTGGTAATAAAGCAAAAAGCTCTAAGGTCCTTTGGAGCTTTAAACACAAACCGCAAATAAAATGTGGACTTTAAACAAAAAAAAGGCGCAAATGGGAAAAAAAACAAATGTGTTTGTGTAGTCCAAGATTAACAATCATAAGCATGAATAACAAATATATAAAGAAAAAATCAAACAAAAATAAAGTGAAATATCAATTTTTTAATAGTCGCAACTTCAAAATTATGCTCATTCGCAAGGAGAAGTACGCCTTAGAACCTTCACGATAACACTAAAGCTCCCATAAAGCTAGCCAAAGCACTCAACATGTTTTGTGCCTCACTTCAATGCTTAAACGCGCAACATCAAGGACCAGAAACTTTGACAAAATTGAGCTTAAACAAATAAAAATGCGCAAACTTTTCAAATTCAAGCTCAATTCCATATGGAATAATCGAACACAATGAAGATCATAAAAATTTAACTATATATCAAAAGAATGAGAAAACTTTTCCAACTACACATTTTTATGCAAATTCAACAACTTTGCCAGTAAAACAGAGAACTTTAAATCCAATTTAGCCTAAAAAAGACAAACCCAGAAACTACAACTCATCAAAAACCCTAATTTACGATCATAAATCATACAATCAATCCAAAAACATCACAAAATGAAGAATTAAGAGCAAACCCAGAAAAAAAAAAAAGGAGAAAAAAAACACCTGAAGACCAGCACGAGAAGAACGAGAAGTGGGTTTCTTCTTCTCCTTTTCTTTATCCTTATTAGCCGCTGTTTTCCCCATAATCAAACCCTTAGCTCCTTTTCCCGACATTTTTTCCGGTCGAAATTGGGTGATTTTCCGATTCAATTTTATTTTTTTTGATCGAAAAAATTTCAGCACAGTCGAGAGAGATGAGAGTATATAGTATATTATATATAAATAAAATGTGATTGGGACTGAGCTGGAAGGGGTTGGGGGCCCCATCTAATGGAAGATATTTTGACCATTTTAACCTTGTGTTGTGAGTGAAATTACTTTTGAGAAGCATGTGGTTTACTAGATTGAGAAGGGTAAAAGAGTAAATTACACCTAGAAACTCCAAGTTTGTCACTTTTCTTTTATTTTTATTATTATTATATTTTACTATGTCTTTCCACTGTCATTCATCGAATAAGACTACGTTGCCTAGTTGATTTTTGCTGGACTTTTGGGCTCACCTAGGGTGAGGGCTGCTTTCTTTTTTGCCTGTATCGAGGGTACATGTATGCAATCGTAGTATATTTTCTTTATGGTTACAAGTTTCGAGTTGTTCGCCCATTAACGTAGTACATGAGTAGGATTCAGAATGTTGTGAGACAGTTCGATCTATTTTTTGTGTGCACACTAGATAGAACGTTGAGAGGATCGGGAAGAACACATTTCTGATGTACCAATTATTGCTCCTGGTAAATATTAAATAGTCAAGTACGAAGTAGATAATTATTGTAGTCTATTTTCTTTTGAAACATTTAAAATAAATGAAAATACAAAATATGGCAAAAGTAAATATAACAAAAATTGGTGTGATTTCAAGAATGGGGTTTGAGGAGGATAAGAGTGTAATCACATTTTATTTCTATTTTATGTAAGGTAGTGAAGTTGTTTCGGATAGACCCACAATTTTAAAAAAAAAACATTTGAAAATACAAGAGCGGAAGAAGCTTGAATATTAATATACTAAGAAAAAGAATATTGACAAAAAAAAATTAGTAAGATAACCAAACTAAAAGAATTAACCGTAGGAGAATCTCAGTAACTCAATTGATTGGTTATCTGAAAATTCAACTTGTTCATAAAGGTTCGATTCCCCAACTTCTAATTCTCTCCACATTTCTCCTTCTCTTACTGATAATAATAATATTAATAATAATGGAAAGGAGCAAAGGGAGTCAATAAGGTACTCCAAGACAGGACCACGTTCTCCTCGAGAAAGAAAGGAATCGCTCGACTATCTATTAATTTTTTATCCTAATTCTTGATATTTATGTTCTCCTATCTAGAATCACATTCACGATAAACTGAAGATATATTATATATTGTTGAATCACAACTTCTCAAATTCTTTTTCAATAA